GGCGCCCAGAGAGCTTTTGGGCTTGTCTGTTAAGAACCACACCAAATCAAGAGAGGTCAGAATCAGGTGAGAGGAGGGGGAGGGGGGGAACAAAAATAAAACAAAATAAATTAAAAAACAAAAACAAAAAAATAAAAACAAAAACAAAACCACCAAAAACAGGTAGAAGAGGATAAACAAAGGTGGGGGAGGGGGAAGAATAAGAAAAACAGAAAATGATCCAAAGGAACAAGAATAACTGGTTGTATGGCCTGCAGGTTGTGGATTAAATTATGATTCAAAGTTGATTTTTGGGTTTGTTTGGTTTTTTTTTTTTTTTTGGTTTTTTTTTTTTGGTTTTTAAAGATCTGGGGTCTTCCCCTCCCCCAACCCAGAGTGAGAAGGCTGGAAGGAGAGACAGTGAGGATGGGACGGAGGGGCATCCTGCCCTTGTCAATATGCCGAGGCCAGTGGACGGAGGGCGCAGCGTGTCGTAAGGAAGTGACGACGAAGAAGAGGTACCAGGGAATCACAGCATGGAACGTCTGGGGTTTGGGGGGTCATCAGGATTAGCGTTTAAGCCGGAAAGCCTAGTTTTGCCCTGCACCAAAACCAGAATCTCCCCTCTACGCTTCTCGTTTACATAAGAAACAGGAATGAGAATGTCAGAGCCTCTCTTGCTTATCATCAAAAGGTTGGGGAAATCGATTCAAGAAATTGAGCATGTGACCTCAAAGCTTTTCCTACTATTAATCCCAGTCCGATGGGATGATATTTGGTAGGAAACGTGATCCCGGGCATCAGTCCCACTCATGCTATAAAAATAACGCAGATACAGGGAATGTGCTGACCTAAGGAGCCCTTGAACACAGTTAAAACAGTGGCTGATAACACTCTAACGACAAGTGGGTGAGCGCCGGCCGCCGGCTTCCCATCCCAGGAAAGCGGGAAGACGCTGCCTGGTTGAAGGCAGCCGCTGTCAGATGTCACTGGCCTTTGAAAGGAAGGGGGTGTAATGAGTTCCTCCTCGGGTCTGTGCCCCCAGAGGTGCGTGGGGTGTGGACTCAGCGAGATGGCGGGAGGGTGGGGAGGAAGGGAGGGTGGGAGGGAGCATGCTTGGCCTTCCCTGCCTCCCGGAGGGCGCCGAGGCCCACTGGGTGGAGGCCTCAGGGCCTACCTGATCCCCCACTGGGTGGGAAGGAACTCTAGGGGTGCGAGGGCAGCCCCCCTCACCTTTCAGTTTGGAAAGGTTCCTTTTCTCCTCTGGGATAGACGGAAACAGACTGTGGGTTCTGCTCCCATCCCAGAAACCGAGATAAATAATTAAGCCTCTCCGAGTTTTTAAACCACCTTAGCCTGCAGATCAAAACATGCTTAAAAAACTAAGATGTCCATGCATTTTAAAAAATGGGAGGACGGCGGGGTGGGGGTGGGGGGCGGGTCATAAGCAAAAGCGAGAGAGAACAAGGACAAAGGGGAGGGAGGAGGGGGAAGAGAAAAGGAGAAACAGGAAACAAGGGAGTGACGTCAAGCAGCATTCCATGCTATATTAGGGCAGAGTACAAAGATGGGAAAGCAACTTGGTGGGCTCAGAACAGAATCTTGTTAAAATGTCCTCAAATGTCAAATAAAATTAGAAGCCCTGTGTAGCGAGCAGAGCCCTGATTGGCTGATTGTTCTGGTGCTCCCCTCACCCTCCCGCCCTCCTTCTGACACGGAGGTTTACATCGAGGGGATGAGTGGAAGCATTTTGAACATGGGACGTGAAGACCATGAAGGACAGCGAGACACTCCTCCTAACAGGTGGCCGAGCAAAAGGCAGTTGGGACACACAGCCGTTTCTGACGGGCCAGAAAACGCCTCGTTTTGTAAACTGCTTTTCTTTCCTGAAAGCACATTTTGTCCTACTGATTGAGCATCGGGCCAGATCCTGGCAAAGGGGAAAAGTTGAGGGGAACAGGGGGCAAAACCCATCCGCCTGCCCTCCCCCACGCGGGCTCCGTGTCCAGTCGAGGGGGCGGCCTTTTAAAATTCCACTTCTAGCTTCTCATGGAATTACTCGGAAAGGAAGCTAAGGGTTCTTCCTTATCCTGTTTTGGAATTACGCCCTTTCAACCGGCTAAAACGCATCTGCTAATGCTTTTAGGGAAAACATCCCCACCAGAAGTAAAGTGGCCAGCAGGAAAGTTCTAACGGTGTGCCAAGGGGGGGAAAGAACCCCGAGGAATGAGGAGGGACAGCCGGCCCCTCAGAGCTGCACTTTTGAAAATCGTGTTTATGGGGCAGCTACAAAGATTTGGGGTTTTGCCTGTTTTCTGTAAGAAGGTCAACGAAACTTCTGGCCTCTGAGGAAGATAACCACACCCTGGCTTTAAACAAGGTGCAGGCTGTGTCTGAGGAGGGGATGTCCGTCCGGGCCAATGCTAGTAATGGTAACTTTCGTGGGGGGGGGGGGGCGGAATGTCACCTCTAACTTGAAGCAAGTGCTTTTGAAACAAAAAAAGGGCTTCATCTTCATAAACCACCACTCACCCCCCTCCACCCCCAAATTAGGCGACATACCATATTGCGAGGTGGGCACGATGGCCTCAGCCATACGTTTCTACAGATCGTGAGAAACCCTCTCAGGAGTGAGCCCCGCGATTAGCTAATCCTTCACCATGACAGGGTGCCTCAGAACAGGATTCCGCAGCTAATTATCTTCCTACTCGGCACAAATAAAATTCTGCCACAGATTCGCTGCCTAGATAGGGTAAGCAGAGGCCCTGTCTTCCCTGGGTAGGCCTAATTTAAACACCTAACTCTCTTCATCTACTTCATCACGAATCTCTTTTCTGTTGCCCACAGAAGACCCCAGGACTGCGTGGGACTGGTATCTGTCACCTCTGTGAACACTGCCATGTCACAGAACGGGCGACTGCAGAATCTCTCTCAAGGCCTGGAATCCTCGCTCAGTGGGCACAGGGCTGTCTGTGAGGTTCTGTCTCAATAAAGATGCTCGGGGCCCTCTCTCCCCTACACGTTTGGCCAACTCCAGGCACTTCGCCGGTCCCTCGTAAGGCATCGGGGGAGGGGAAGAGACACGGGAGACTTGTGGGCATGCACGTTAATGGGATGGACATCTGATCTAATGTCTAAACACGGAACACATGGCAGAGGCATGGAGGAGAGGGACACGTGACAAGGAGGCACTACAAACAGGGAAGCGTGTTCGGGGAGTTGAGATACCTACCATCATAATATTCCAAATTCAAAGACTGCTTGTATCAGAACAAAGAAACAACAAATTTAACCAAAGGTGGTCAGTAAAGGAAAGGAAATGAGACAGGCACGAGTTGGTATCCCTCCACCAAGAAGGAAGTACCTACACCTTCCCTGAAATTACAGCTTGGGTGAAAACCTGCAGGTGCAACACGGTGTTTAATTTGCACTCTTCTAATTCATTCTGGAAGCAATATATTCTCTCTCTCTCTCTCTCTCTCTCTCTCTCTCTCAGTATATACAATATATATTTTAATTCTGCAGGCTAGCAACGCTGCAGTATTCAGCTGGTGCACGCCGTTCAATGCCACGCTTCTTTTCAGCACTGTAAAACAATGTCAAGCTGACCAGACTCCTCTGTACAGAGACATGTGGTTTTGAAACGTAAAAGAAAAACGAAACAAAACACACCCAAAAACGCCTGCCCCGGAGCCCTTGTCCAAGGGTCTCGACTCCCAAGTGCACGGGGATGCTACCGCTGCCAGGTGTGAGCTCATTCAAACCTCTGGAAATGGTGGCTCTCTACGCTCAGCACACATGCCACGGACCGGGCCGGTTCCAGGATGCTGGCTTTCAAAGCAAAAGGGTAAGGGCCCGTCCTGGTCTGTTAAGGTTGTGGTCTCAGTCCCACCGGGGATCCGGATATGGTATTTGCAAGAGCAAGGTGGGGGGGGAAAGAGAAAGAGGAAGTGGGGAGAGGACACGGCATAAAATTAGCAAGGAAATTTTGAAGGATGAGGATCATTAGTCATTGA